TCCTGACCAAAATGTATGTCTGACATAGAAGGTAAATTTTGTCGCAGAAAATAAAATGATATCTTGGCTAGCATCGATCTAAAACAAAGTGTTTCAAGAAAGTTGTATCATTCTATAAATCGTTCAGACTTAAGACTTAAGAAACGTGGCCAAATTATTAACCTTTACTTACGAATTAAAAAAAAATTAGTACTTTTTCGTGTAACTATGCAGGATGAAACAAGATAAGCGGGCGGGGAAGATTCTTCCGCCCTTTACTGTCTACGAGGTCAGACTTCGAAGTTATCCCAATGTACGCTTCCGAGAACGTAAAAGAAAACATGTTCACACCCTTGGCTTTTTTTTTAAAATTTGATTGCCACTCTGATAATGATAAGGAAGAAAGCAATAGTAATGCTACAGTGACTATGTAGTCGAGTTGATTTGGTGTATCCACGAAGAGGGATGGGTAAGAGTCCGTGATATGTCTTAGGGTATTTTTGCTACTTCCGCGATTTCCGTTTGTGGGTGTTGCCGGTTGATAAAATCAAACTCTGGGTGGGGTCAAGCGGTCAGAAAAAACAAACTAAAGCTATAAAGACATTTCCGAAGCGTGCGAAAAAAAAGAAGAAGAAAATAACATTGAAAGTTTGTTTTGTATCTCATTCGCGATATTTCAAGATGATTGACGGGTTTGACCTGACGTTTCGAGATCACATCAGAAAAATTAACCGATGTACGCTTCCCGTTGGTTGGCTAGAAAAAATGAGTATATCGATTTCTTGAAAATTCGAAACGCTATTTAGGACCATGCGTATTATTTCATGATAGCCATGAGATAATAGATGGTTAACTCGTCAGTATCTGGCTAAGAATAAAACTCAGCCAAAATTGAAATTTATTTTAATTTTTTTTATATTTTTAGAGTAAACATAATTGAAAGCATTTGCTCTAAGAGAAGGCAACCGCTATTAAGGAACTCGCGAAATATTACAATTTGTGGTAAAACATCGAAATGCTTTGTCTATATTCGTTCTGAAAAGTTGTGTTTGCGTGCGCAACTAATAAGATTAATTAAATAACTCCCGTAGACTTCGTGAAATGTAAACAGGATACGTCTTGCCGCAAAAGTTTGCTGACTGTATGTACCAGGACCCCCGGAATTTTTCCGGGGGGTCCTGTGACAGCTCTTTATCTGCAATTGGGGGCATACCCGGCTCTTTATGACGTACCTCCTGGCCTCATTCACGCCCCTGAGTAAGGTTTGTTTATTTGATCTTGTTAACGTAGTTTTAATTTCGTGTTCAGATAACAAACAATTAGCTTGGGTGCGTCTCTTCCATAACGGAAAAGGTTAAATTCCCTTTTCAGAAATGAATTTTTAGGCAGGATTCTCCGGTAAAGGGGAGGGCTTCCATAAACAATAACAGCTTTTATTCAGTGGTACTAAAAACACGACAGGTTGCTTTACCTGCTCTGGTGGCTGCATCCTTAATATAGATTTTGTTTGTTGCCTTAATTACTGGTTCCGACATCGCAATATTCCGTTTTTAGATCATAAACAATGGTTTGGGCGGATGAGATGTTAATTCCCGCGCTTTCCATGCCCTGTTGCGGTTAAAATGGCCAAAAATGGAGCTTCTTTACGGCATTACACTAATTTTATACAGATTAAAAATGAACAAACAGTTAATAGGAAATGGCGTTGAGTAATCTTTTCTGATATCATGCGTCATGTAAAGATAAACTTGAATATTTCGTCAGTGAAAAAATGCGTCAGGTATGCAAAATTGAAAGTTTTTCTCAGCACCGGCTCGATGAGAAGATGGACAATTATTTTTTTTTGACCTTGGACTTTGAGAAAAACTTTCCATTCAACTGGGATACAAGATAATTAACTGCCAATGTGAATTTCTTGTAATCATCACTAATATTGTTAGAAACGACTTCTAACTTTTCCGTTGAGTGAGTGGGTTAAGTGTGTTTGATGCAATGTTGAAGAGAGATAAATCAACGTTCAAGAAGAAGACATAAGTTCGAACATCGGCGAGTTATTGTCTCTCTAATTAATTAAGGAAGTAGGCTGAACTTTCCTGAAATCAAGTAGATACTTCAAGTGCTAAGACAACAAAAAAAAAATCACACCCAAGAAGAAGTCTTTCATCAGTATTTTGAGGCTAACGTTTTGTTGACGGTCAATGAAGCGTTCGCTGGTTGCAATATCAATGGTAATTGCGAAAGAGGATGGGTCGACACTTGTGTAAAGATCAGCAAAGAGATTCACTCACTGGAGAAGAGAATTAATCAGATTATAATCAACCATGTTACATGTCTATAATTAAATAAGGAAATCAGAAGAGATATCTCGGTGAATAGCACAGATATTTGCACGAGTCAAATTAATCATGTAACCGTCAGCACAGTCCTTTATTTACCGTTAAGAAAGAGCACATCATTATAAATGTTAGCAAGATCTCTACGTCCAATTTCTCATTATAAAGGATCTTTCTGCAGCTTTTAAATTCTCCGTGGTTCGTTCTTGGATTGCTATGGGCTGACTGGGGAAAATGGGGCGGATAAAAATTAAAAAAAAAGGTCGAAAAGTATGCGTAGAATCAAGCACAGGATCAATGGGAAATGCGAACGTTCCAGCTTACCCACGAGGCTTTGTGTGTACAAACATACAACTATCTCTTTCACTCTTGACGCTCGACGTGGCTAAATCTACGATCTCTCTCAATCCATTTACACACACGACGCTTTCAACGTCTCTGTTTCTTGCGCAATGTGGGGTACTAGTAGATGTCGAACATGGCGTAGAGTCTGGTTGTACCTCAGCAGTAGACCATCAGACTGCGGCGAAATCTGAGGTTCTGAGTTTTGTTCTCTTTACGGGACTCAGATTTTTCTCAGTCCCACTTTCGTGACAGGTGAGTAACACCTTTCTTCATTCAATAACCGAGCTCAAAACTTTGCCATCTTTCTAAATCTATTTATAACTGACATGATGATATTTTCGCTCTCGCCTGCAAGACACCAACCTAAAAATCTTTTAAGGTCAAGGCTGAAAACCTTGGCTTACGTCCAAATAAGTGACAGCTATTTAGCCAAACCTCGATGCAGTTCTGCTGAGTTTATGTCTGCGGTGGTCTTATCGCATTTGAAGATATAATTTTGTTGACAAACTTACGACCTGTTGAATGAAAGCTAATGAACAGGGAAGTCATGTGGTGGTCCTCATAGTACACGTTGCACATTGAAACATGCTGAGGCCTTTTTTCACTATCGGTCGCCTTAAGAACAATTTCAGTACGTTTAGATCATTATGTAGCAGCATTCGGTCCTCAGCTACTCGAGAAGAAAACAAAATCTTTCAGAAACTGTAGGGAATTTGGTGAACGTTTGGTATTCAGTCTAGGGGTGATGTAGATCTGAAAAACTAAACAGTTCAGTTCTGGACCTAAAAAGGCATTTGTTGTTCTACCGCCATCCTAGTTTTTCCTCTTTTCATTAGACCGCCCATGATTCCTTAATTCCAAGCTCTCAGAGAGGATTAAGTGCTTTTTCAGCATGATAATCCATAATTAAACAGGCACACTCTCACGCCTTTTCCGCAAACAAATCTTCCTATGTCGGACCGGTACGACCGCACTTGTCCTCTTTCCTCAGCGCATCATAGAAACGCCCAAACGTGGAATTTACGGAAAGCAGCAGCCTGCAAAAATTAAACTAAGAAGCAAAGTTATCAAAGGCATTGGCAGAAACTCATCCAATTGGTATTAGAATTAAGAAAAAAAAAAAACATATACACTGCTCAAACCAACGCTCCCCTTTTGTACATGGGACTTTTCTAAACCACCGGCCGACTTTGCAATACATCTAGACAGCACATCAGTAATCCATTATTGTTTTGGTTTTAATAATTGTTACAGGGGCATAGTTACGATAACTAGAGAATTATTAATCACGATACTGAAGATAATCGGTTAAAAGGTGTGGCTTTTATTCGCTTTCCTTTGACTACAAGCGGAAATTGGGTAGTTTGTGCCGAACAACGAAGATCGCAAGAAAACTATTAGGCCTCAACGCCTTACTACGATGTTATCTTAAATATTCATTCATTATACCTTCTCATTTACTATCTTCAATCAACTTTGAAAGCTGTGTCTGTAAACAGACATCTCAATGAATGAGGAGTTTATGAAACAAAAGATTGAGTTGCATATTATCATCGCTAAACTCTAAAAATATATTTTCAAATGTGTTTACACTGTCTGTGAATGTTTATTTTTTAAATAAGAATTTGGCTTTCGTTCGGAATTCGTAAATATATCACAAAGGATGCCGTAAACTCCTTTTCATTTCATAATTCTTTCGATGAAAATTGAGGTCAACTGTGTTGTTCCAGTAATTTGGAAGTCTGCTTGTGAAATGAAGACAAAGTATGCCAAGGACGGTAACTATTTCCAAACCGCACAAAACGGACGTGTCTCCCGCTATGATGTCGTGCTTGTATCCGGCAAAAGCGATACTGAGGTTCCATGAAAGGTTTGCAAGCTTCTTTCATCTCCAGCGACTCAGCGCTAAGAGTGTTAGGCGTGCAATTTGTGCTTCTTTCGAGCTTTTAACCTCTTGACATGGGACTCTGCTCAGAGTGCTATTCAATATGTTTTTCAACAAAAGAAAATACAAGTCTGTAATACGGATTTTAAGCTCCAGTGTTTGTACGCAGCATGGTCAAGTACTTTCTACGCTAAAATTTGTCGGTACCACACTCGTATTGAAGCATTCATGCAGGAGAGATTTTCTTGGCAAGAATCCGGAAATATTCATTAACGTAGGAAAAACAGATATTTAATATCGTTTGAAGATCTGACATTGTCATCATCGCGAGCTGACACAAGTGCCCTGGGCTGGCTCAGAATGCTACATAAATTAACAGCAGTTATACCAGCAGTCCACATCGCAGAAGAAAACCCTGAACTGCGCTCGAACTTCGACCGCATAATCTTCACAATCCTACCAACCGAGCCAGTTGTGAACGCCTGCTGTCTTATAACTGCACCGTATGGCACTGTGGCGAGCTAGTGTCGCTTTATCTTTCGTATTGTTGTTGTTATTCCTCATTCCATCCGTGGAATCGAGGAGAAGACGACCAAAAGGAAGAAAAGACGATCACAAGCAAGCTACTCTTCAGGAGCTTTGCCGTAAGTCGGGGCAGAACTCAAGAAAGAACATTTTGGAACTCCAAGCATTTGTCGACCTCAGCAAGGTATTACACTTCAAAGTTGTACGAAACGGCCTTGGTTATTACATCATAAATCGAAGATTTAATGACCTTCATATCTGAAAAAGGTTTCAAATTTGGCATGTGTTTTTTCCTTTTGTAGGCTTTCGCATGTTTGAAGGTAGAAACATGTTCAAGAATTCCAGTTTGTTTCGTCGAGGATACGCCCGACCTCAGACAAGAAAATCTGAACGACTGTACAGTTTGGAGCCTACTCTTGTTAGGGCTGCAGGTACTGCCGGTAGCTACACTTAAGATCTGTTTTCTTTTTCGTTCGTACACACGTTCCTTGCTCTTGGAACTTGAACAAGTAATGAATTTCGATCTTCCTATATTGTACAAAATGTACAATGTAAGGCCTCTGGAGAAAGTTGCAGCGTAGGCAAACATAAGAGAACGCCATTTCTAGGATATTTTTAAACTCAATTTCAAACGAGTATGGAGATTTGGTTGTCGATGCTCCATTAAATTCTGCTAGACTCAGGAGAAGCGGCTTATTTCTGCTGAAACCACAAAACTGATTTGTAAGTTAAAGTTTTCGCGCTTTACACGAGAAAAAAATTCAACCCGACTATAAGAGATTCCTTGACAACAATTTCTTAAGTGGCAAAAGATCCACGACGTTTTTGACAGCATATTACACAGCTGAAAGGTTTATTACACAGCTCAAAGGTTTATCGACATCGTCAGCAAAATCAAGGAAATACAAGGGAACAATTTGAACTCTATACAATGCCCTTTCATTCGAAAGGCACGTGCAACCAAATATATGAGCTAAGACATGAAAGATGGGGTGTAACTATTTTTACAGGTCTCATAAATCAGCAAAGAACTTTCCTGGTAACAATAAATTTATTTTGTTCTCACTAGACGCCAATCTGTGTAAATACTACCTCTTTCAGAAAACATTCCTAAATTTTGTAAAGAACGAAGATGCTTCCCAATAGTTGAGGTCAGGACGAAACCTCTCGCTCACGTTCATGGGAAAACAAGATGATGCCGAGAAATGATTGATCATGCGTTGACCCTTTCGTTTGGAAAGCCTCAAAAATTCCTTCGTTCTTGACATGTTGACCCATTATGATTGCCTTACATTCCTTGTCATAAGCTATTGTTACGTGAATTTAGTGCTACAGTACATAGAAGCGTACTCTCTAAAGAAAGTGTAGACAAAATACTTTTTAATATGATTTTTCGACAACTTTTAAGCGCCCGACTGAGAACTTAATAAACTTGCGGATCGCGTTGATAGATCGATAAATGGTTGTCTTGACGTGGCCTTGTCAAAGATAGGTTATATGTCCTTATTAATTGACTCTTTTGCGATTGCTCATGTTCTAATATAATCAACTGCTGTTGTAGGAGATAAATCATTTCCTAACCTGTCGCATGGTTATATGTGGTGTTAGTACGCCGAGATTTCTTGGAGGAGTCAGTTCCTGTTTCCTGATACAGTTGTTTTATGAATCGGTTAATGACAGCTGTTAAGACTGTCATAGCGTATTCGTCGAAATCATATCGCGTAAGCCGTCTTGGTTTCAAATAAGTTCTTGACAAAAAAAAAAGCAACTGAAATTATCTCAAAAGCAAGTATGTAAGCCGATATATTTTGTCAATCATAGTTTAGTAGAAGGCATAAGTTTCACAGGGTCAAACTGGAACCAAAATTTAACCCAACTGTTTCTCTGGTAAGTAGATCGTTTGTACAGTGAGTGATAAGCTTCTCAAGATACCTTCCTTTTTTATGCTCATGCGCGCTTTGATCACTGAACGGAACCGTTCATTTTGATGCTCATGGAGTTTTTAAGCTGGAAATTTAGCTTGCAATGGCGTCTTAAACTTCCAGGATGAGGACACAGGAAAGAAGAATAAAAGGAAAAAGCAGAGAACATTATGATTCCACTTTAGAACTGAAGAGTGGAGGTCTCATGAGATCAAAGTTCAGTGTTTGTAATTCTCTTAAAAAAAAAAATCTTGACTGTCTTCCAAGTCTGTTAAGTTTGGAGGATACCGTAATCCAGTTAAAGTGATTAAAAAACGAGCCGACTCTTTAAAAAAAAAAAAACAAAAAAAAAGAGCTATTTCTGGCAAAGTTTACTATGAGAAAGATAAAATAGAACTATTCGCAATTTTAGGCAAATGTCTGCTTGGATCTATGCCATGGCAACGTGTCTTTGTATGCTCATCATTTTGAGCGTTTTTTTCGTGCTTGTCTTAAGAGTTTTATTAAAGGATATTAGGGGATTTTGCGGATGGATTACTCGTATTAATTTAATTTACAGCAAAAAGGCGGCATTATTTTATTGAGAGTTAAGCGTATTACCAAACTGTTACTACAGAAAACATCCAAAACGTATTTTTTTAATGCAAGAGATACCCCAAGGATAAATTCGATTCAGAGTAATTTGGAGTTTTAGCTGCTTCCGGTGATCAATACACCCATTACATTAGATACATTTGAAACTCGTTTTTAACCATACCAAGAATACCGTATATACTTCCCTGCCCTTATTGATTGATCAAATGAAAGTATTGATTCGGATCGAGGAAATACGCGAGGGGGAAGAATATTAAAAGTGCATTGCAACAATTGGGGATAGTCATTGAAGGTCTTAAAGCCATCTCTTTTCTTTCACACTAGCCTTTATTGGATCAGTATCGGGCCTTTATTGGGCCAGTATTACGCCTTTATCGGACCAGTACTGAGCCTTTATTGAGCCAGTATTGGAGCAATAGAACATGGCCAAATACCACTAATCAGATTTGTGGGTTGTTGGAGAACGCAATGGAAGAATTAAAAGTTTCATTCAGTTTCCACTGAGTCGGTGGCTGATTAAAAGGAAAAATGAAATAAAAAACTGTGTAGTTGAGACACTTCAGAGAAATGACATGCAGCGCTTACATTATTTTATTGCTTTGGTTTCCCCGAGTTCAGCCGAAGCACAATAACCAGATTATCCGTCTTTCCTTTTTAGACCAATCGACGAATTGAGCCTGTGATGGAAAGCCGTGCGGTAAGTGGTTTCAAATTATCATATTATCATATTATATCGTAATCTTATGACGTTAGACATATTTTTTTTTTCATGCTCAGAACTCCATCTAAGCTTAAGATACTTTTATGATAACTTACCCAAGGTCGCAAAAGAAATGGTTCTTGATCTCAGTGCATCATCAGTATTCCACGTTTAAGACCCTTGAAAACACACTTGATATTTCCATGTGCAAAGTCTAACATTCCAAGGTCAAAACACTGCAGTACGAACTGAGACCTTTGGTAAGGTCTGAACTTTTTCAAGTACACAGAAATGGAAGGCTGCACGCTTTGAGTTAGCTGAGAGTGTTGTTCTCCTCTTGACATTTAGGGTCAGCGGGGCGTTTGATACGTGCGGGAATCAACGTACTTTAAGCCAAGTGCTTACCCTTACTTTTATTTCGCCCAATATCTTGTGTCCTGCATGTCCATTATTGGTTTGTGACAGTGCCTACGCATGCGTGTCCGAGAAATGTCTCATAACATACAACTTCGCCATGTGCGATCCTTATAGAGCGATTTGTGAAAAGATCATGAGACTAGACTGGATGTTTTGCAAGGCCCCCTCCCCCCCATGAAAAAAAAAAATAGGCTGTGAGTGAGTGCGAAGACCACGATTGAGACATGTTTCAGCAAAGTTTTATCTGACCTACAAACTTCTCTTGGCATTGTAAATCAAAGGAAGTCGAGAATTCCCTCAACAATTACCATGGCGGTCCTGAACAAAAATATTTTACAAAGACTTGAAAAGTCGAAAATGACAGACTTTTGCTTGGGTAGATGACTGGAAAAGTAGATTTATCAAAAAAAAAAAAAAAAACTGTTTGGAGTCTTTAGGGATTGTGAAGGAGAGATTTTACTCGATGACAAGGTTTTTCCTTTGCTAAAATATCTCGGACTGATACAGTTTTCTCTGAGTAGCCCTCTTCATGTTAAGGGCAGGTGATTTAAATGTCTAGACCATTAAGAATGTCAAACTATTACTAACAACAATAGTCTTTTATCTTTAAGTATTAACATGTAAACACATGTTCGCTATATAAGTCCACCCTCCCCTCCCATTGCATTATTACATATTCGTCTGTTGAATCTAGCGTGCCCTTTTCCAACAGAATCGTCGTAACAATGCGCATGTCAAGCCTCGCACGGACTACACCTGGGACGAGGCCGTTAGCAGCCTTTGCCATGGCGCCAATGTATATCGTTTCATACCCGGGGAAACTGTCGAGGAGGGAGGAAGTAGCAGAAATGAAAGTAAGTGATTATCAAATTTAGCCTGATAAGATAAGTCTTAGAGGAAGAGTCCAGACATTCAATAGATAATCCTCCCAAAGTTATTTTTAGAATCAAGCTATCGAATCTCCCAGGAACACTTCTACCGAATAAGTCTCTTAAGTTGATCCTTTTTTTATTTGTCATTATTGTGTCAGCTGATTCATCGAGTGAGGCGACGGGCGGGGGAGGGGTGGGGTTGGAATGGTTGATAACTTACGGACGGTCAAAGAGGTCACGACATGGTTTTCATATCATATATTTTAATTGATGTTGATAAATTAGTTGATGTATAGTTAAACACAAACAAGCTACATCATTAATGTTTCAATAGTTCTGAAGAGATTTTTTCTACGTCTTCAAAAAAGACTCAAATTATTAGACCTGCTTTCTAACTGATATTTTAATGAAAAAATGAAACTTCGTGATTAATACGCTGTTTATGATGCCACAAAAACTGATACTGATGTTGTTAGTAATATCAAGGGCATTATCTTGAGATAAATTGCCTTTAAACTAAAATTGTGTTTTTTTTTTTATCAGCCAACAAAAATTCATCTTCCACTGACACTGGAACGTTGAAACCCAAAACATCCCACAGAAATACAACCCTTCCAAGGAGAAGTCGCACTCGAAGGAGAAGGCAAGGTGGTGCATTGCTAAGCTCCGTTCTCAGGAGGCAAATGAAGAAGGTGAAAAGACAGAATGCCAACAGCAATTCATCCTGTGGCATTCTTGATGGTTGTACTCGCATTTGTGTTGGCCAGAACGAGAAATTCACCCATGTGTCCGACTGCACACAGTTTAAGATCCAATGCACGTCTAAAAAGTTCTTCAGATCTCGTTCAAGAACGGGGAGGGGAAAGGATAAGAGGAAAAACTCACGGAGAAATAATTGAAAGAAAGTGACCCGGAATGCAAAACAGGACATAACTGGTTAATGAGAAAAGACTAATAGGGGATATGCGATTTCATTTTTCTTTCTAAAATTCTCTTCTCAGAATTTTAATTTGCACGTCCACAGGCGTCCTGTAGAGATTATTGAAAGTTTGGTAAGAATTTTCGTTAAAATACATTAATTGTCATAGGCTTGCCATATAATGGTCTGTAATACTTGACATAACAGAGCCACATTACCAGTGCTTTCCTTGTAAGACAAGCTCTTACAGGGCTAAACAATTAAATTAAACTCTCGGATACTTGGAAATGTTGAGCGGAAAGCACGGCCACAACAATAACGACTCTAAAGACATAATCAATGGTGTTGTTGACATAATAACATAGAAGCAAAACTTAATCGCAGTTTCTTCATTGTTTGAGAATGGCAGATTGTATCTATCTCCATTTCTCAATATTCTTCAATCTGAAGCGATGAGAAGCTTTTGAGAAACATTGGAAAGGCGGATAAATTACGTCATTGTGTACAAGTGGTTGTCCGGCCAAAACTGATTTCCTTATACCACACTTTTAATTTAGCAATCGCATTTTAAGACAATGTTCTGCGCTTTTGCTTGCCTAGATAAATCTTGTTTTAGTGATGATTAGTATAGGTAGAGCAATGCATGTTTGCAATGCGGATAAACTTTCCCACGCTGGAGTGACGCCTTGCAAATTTTATTGGTTTCTTGTAAATGATTCTTTGAGTCAAAGCCTGTAAATAGAATACGGAGTTTGCTAGCCAAAATTGAATTAGTTCTTAAAGAGCAAATAAAAGGTTAAAAAGTTTTATCAAACTATTTCTTTCATTCATGTACAAGTGGGTCTCCGTGACGATTTTATACGAGAGCCATCAAGGAAGGATGGGTAAATAACAAACTTAAATATCAATGGTGTTTCACTTACTATAGATTATTTTTTGGTAAACTGTATTTCAAGCAAAAAAATCAAACGAACCAACTGCCTCGATTTTGACCGTTAAAACAAACTAAACTGCAAATACCACATGAATTATTAGAATAGACATATATATCCTTGTCCACTTGAATAAATTTTGCTGCAAAACTTTTCCTTATTTAGATACGGATGTATTGGAAATACAAATACGGATGCACAGAAATAAGACTATTTAATGAGGATCTTCTTTGAACAAGTGGATTGATAGAACAACAAAGGTAGTGCGGTAACTTCATTGTATTCTGACGCTCGTTTACTAATTGGACGAACAACATAAGGCGCTAAATTAACACCTTCAAATCAAAAGATAGAGAAAGTGGCTTTTTTTGCCCACCAGTTAGTGAGAAATAAGAGTTACGGCTTAGGCATAACTGGTGCTGAATTAAGCGTCCTAACAAGCCTCCGATGCTACACATCCTATTCGATACGCTTCTAAATCACACAGGGCATGCACTCATTTGATTCAATAAAACCCTATTAACGACATGCTGCCTTGTGTAATTTCATAAAACACTGTATTTTTGACTGACAGTTCGTGCAGACCTCTTTATGGTCCATTTGTGCCAATTCCTTCTTTAGCGTTTAGAAACGTAAACTGAATGTATCAGCGTCTTAACATTTTGGGTAAAATTATGGCAGATGGGAAAAAAAGTGAGAACGAAAACGCTGAACTGTAGAACGTCAAGTTCGTTCATTTTCCCCTGTGATCTACGTGTTCAATATCAAAGCCAAAGTTTGCTTGATTAATAAAGGACAATTAAAAGCAGCAAACCATTTCCGACAAAGAAACGTAACATTTCTCCTCGCGTTTTTAGGCGTAAGAAAAGATAAACATGTTTTTTGAAGCTACAGTTTTGTCTTCATACACTTGGGTGGTCTTCACTTCATATTTCAGCTATACGGAATCAGAAAAATAGAGTTGTACTAGCTATTTAAGTAATTTTATCACTTAATCTTATTTGCAATTCTAATATAATAAATAAACGGAAATTTGCTCTGACTGAATAACACCACGTACTAAAAATCAGAAACAGATTTCCACACCTGAGGAGATTGACAAGGAAACTCAACGGCAGCAAGTCACAGTGTGCGGTAGCAATTTCATGTTCCATATTTCACCAAACATTGAAGGTTTGTTGGCAATTTTTTAAAAAAAAAATACTTATTCCACTTTACACATTTTCCATTCTTCAGCTCCAAATGTAAATCTTGAAGTATTCTGCGGCTAAAACATTCGAACATTCCTTCTCTTCTTCACCATCTTGGTCCGTTGAGGCACAGCCATGATATACTCATGTGTTCGAACGTCCGTGAACTGTCGTAACGTTAATTTTAAATGCCCGGAGAATTCTGCTATTACATTGTTGTGGTTTAAGATTCTACGCTGAGAACCGTAGTATTTGATGCAAATATCAGACATTTGTTTCTATGTTTAAAGCGTGACCAGTTTATGATCCAAATTGTGTTATTCAGCTTCTACTTCTTGATCAGTTGGAAAATTGCAGCTTAAACTTCACCAGGTAGGTTCAACTAACGCACAAGTTGGCTTAAAATTTCACGAACATTTTAGTCTAAAA